GTTCGTTCCAGGCAAAAAAGTGTTAACTAGAGTAAATAGAATAAGAGCTACTTTAATATTTTCTATAGTTGAGCAAGAATTTTGTGTTGATTATATTTGCTTCACTAACACTTGCATAATAACCATGCCACCGCTACAGAGCAAAGGGCTATCTAGGCATATCGATCGTAAATGAACCAAACCTTCTCATTATTCCGGTTTAAACAACTATGTTCCTTACGGTTTTGGTTTCTATCTATGTTGCTCGAGAGTGATCAAGGTTTAAGCTTGCGGAGTTTGATGAGTCTACTTTTTATGCTCATCACACCGTTGTTTAAACCAGTTTATCTTATTAAATCTGAGATATTCCCTCCGATATTTCCAGTAATGATTAAAGAATGCAAGAGATTATGAAATCCTCTCTTTGTTTTGTTTCCATAGGAAAAAAAGTCATACAAGAAAAGAAGCAAAATGGAGAAAGAAGACATTAAATGGGAGACGCACAAGAACAAACAAAGCGCAAGACAGCATCTGGTACGAGCTCATAGCAGCGCTCATACCAGGTGCCAGCCGGCACCGTGGCGTCCAACGCACCAACTTTTATGAAGGGCCTCGTACCAGAATCGCAAAGGATCATCGCCGGAAACCTCAATCTCTACAACAGAAGCCATTTACAAATCCTAGCCGCCAACATTTCCTGTCTCATCTCCATAGCCACCACCCCGGCGATCCACCTTAAAGTTAGCCATACTTGTAAATGTGTGTTGCATCCGGCAACCACTATAAGACATATTATCAATAAAATTTTCATCTCGATGTCTTCTTCGGTGATTTTATCATGCGACCCAGTCGCTGTGTGTGATTAATTCGGTAAGTCAATGGGTAGAGGCATAACCTTGCAACCCGATGTGTTTGTATGAGGGTTCGATGAAATGACTTCGAATGAACGTCATGTATGTGTAAAATAAATTTGTATTGTAGTTATCTCTTGACTCTCTCACGTTCTTCGACCCTGCAGGTACGTAGGATCCCGGAGTTCAATCAACGAGAGGTTAGGAGCATGGAGGAACTGGAGCACTATTATGAACATGAGTGACCTAAAGGTTTAGTACGGTAGCATGAAGCCAACCCTTGGGGATACATGAGGTTTAGTCATTGAATGCCCAATGCTTTTGCCTGATTTATCTTAATAACCAGGGTAACCCTGTGTGACGGATAGGGCCCACAGCTGGAAAACTGGTTCTTGATGCAGGTCGTGTTCTAGTGAAGACGTAATCTGGACCACAATCCCTACTTCGAGTCATTGCAAGCACATCTTAACGGGTGTCTTCTAGAGCAAAAATTAAGATCATGATGATCCCAATCACAAACATATGGTTGTAAGAATCAAGTCCTCATATTGTTTTTATTATGAGTATTTTAGTAGCAAAGGTGATGACGATCCAGTCTAAAAACTAGAATTTGATTCTCTCTCAAAAACTTTGTAGAAACCCTTGTCATAAGTGCACATCCTCTTGTGGGTTCGATAAATCAGGGTCACATTTTACAGAAGAGGGACCCTTTTTGCTATTCATTATCGGATCACCAAAGGGACTCAACAACCATACATGTAGCTATCATGTATCTCTATAGGACAACAAAGTAAGAAAAAGCAGGCTAGTAAAAGGTAACATATACAGTCGTGCTTTCAAATTGACTAGAACAAGAGTTGTCTGTTGGAGACGTGTCGATCTAGCTTGGAGAAGGCAATGGCATTGCCGGTCATGTGGTTGGATGCACCTGTGTCCATGTGCCACTTGGGCTCCTTCCCCTTTCCCTCGACGCCGAGGCAGACCTTGGTGCGCTCCTCGTTGAGGTGGATGACTCGACGCCGCACTCTGACGTGGTGGCTGCATGGGCGGAGTCGCGACTAAGCCATGAGAAGTGCAGGCTCTTCGTCCTTAACCTCGGCAACCAGTGCCATGTCGGCAGCCTCGTCCCGCTCCTTTTCGCGGCATCCACGGGCCTAAATAGCACTCGATGCCACAGTAGCAGCAATTGTCATCGTGCTTGGTCTGGCCTTGCCGCCACCGGGGCACGTTGCGTCCTTGCCACGCTCGCACTGGCCCTTCTTGCGTTGCTTCTTACCAACATTCGAGCCGGCACTTGAGGAGCTGTTGTGCTCGTGTCATCCGGCACGTGCTCACCACTCCTCCTCGGTGAGCAGCAACTTGGTGCCTCCCTCCTCCTCAGCGTCTAGGATTAGTTGAAATCCCCTAATAGTTTCCACAAGAGCAACATACTTTCCTGGAGAATCAGTAAAAACTTCTGCCGCAAAGAACAGTTGTGATAAGAAACGCTCAATTTTTCTTGCTCTTGCTACAGTTAAATGATCCTCTTCCGATAATTCATCCTATCAGGGCCCTTAGCTAGTGTTCTTGAGAAATGGCCGGGTCTGGCCCATTCCTCAAAAGATGTTTTTATAGGATCCCTATCCACAACAATTTTTACTTCTGGTTCCAGCGAACGAATAATCATTAAGTCTTGTGCAAGCATTTTACGATTAAGAATCAATTTATTCTTGTACAGGTTGTGTATTAATTTACTATAACTATCGAATACTTTATATACCCATGTTGTTGCGTTTATCCAAGTGATCCACAAACGACAAAAATCCCTCTTTTGCCTGCCTATATCTCGTGCATAGATTAGTCCTACTATCTTAATTAGGTTCTAATTTAGTAGTATTCTCATTTTATTTAATAGTCTCTTATTATTTTATTATTAAATACTCCTCTACTGCCACGAGTATTAAATAAAGGATAGAGCTATTCTTTTTTCTGGAGATTCTAGAGAAAGCGAGACAAAGTGAAACGAGAAAGTTTTCTTTATATAAGAATTAGAAGCTTGTAGTGCTCCTCTGCTGCCTTGAAATGGCCGACGATCTCCTTGATCGATCCCGTGTCAAGATCAATGAGGTTGTCAATGGACACAGCGAGCTACGAGTAGCGCTTGGGGACAATACGGGGCCACTTCTGCATGATCATCTTGTCGCTGATCGGATCATTGAGCTCGCCACCTTACATTGTCACCATGACCGGTCATCACAGGGACCAAAAGTCAAGGCTTTGATGTCACTTGTTAGTCTTGGCTCGAGGTCACGCGAGATAAAACTAGAGAGGGCGAGAAAGAAACGATGATTTCGTGTCGTGTTCAACCGACAACTTTTCTTCTACTTTCTCTATTTATTCAGTGATTATACAATGCTAACCGGAAAAAAAACAGGCCACGTCCGAGTCGTGAGTGCTGCCACCCATCCCAACACTCCTCACACGCCACCTTACATTGTTGCCATGACCGTTAGTATCGTGCCATCCCATGATCGGATCAGGGCGATCAATGATATATCCTAACAACCTAGGACCAAGTCGTAGCTTATTTCTGCTATTAACGGTTTAACTGAGGAACACTGACGAAACCGAATTCTAACAGCTACAACTACGACACTTTTTTAAATGGTCACCGAGGGGGAAGGCTCCCCACCTGAATATATTTCAAAGTGGCCATATTGTCATGAGATTGATCCCATTTATAAGGAAAACCGGTGCAAAAGCATAAACAAGTTGACCCTGTTTATGAGAGAAACCAGGCCGAAAAATCTTACAACAAGGGTAAAAGAAGAAGAGAAACAAAAAACAATGGACACCCAAGACAGGGCACGCCTAGCTAGCAAACCAAAGGACATCGCCACGAGGCATAAGTAGATGAGGGGAGTCGTCAAGGGATCACAATACCAAGACTTGACAAGCAGCCTAACGCACCACACTGGCGTGCGTATTAGGCACCACGGCGCAACAGAGGAGCATCCACATCAACGAGTGACTAGCACGAACCTTGACAGGGCACTCTGCCATGGAAAATCAGGAACGATTAGCAAGTTAGAGACGCATCTTGCGGCATCATTGAGCAAAGATGAACCAAGACAATGCCAAGAGCACGAAGCTCGCCACACCACAACAGCAACCATGGAGGTCTTGAGCATGCACAACAACAGAGACGACATCGAAGAACACCACCACAGAGGAACACATACCACCGCCAACCCGTCCAGCTGCACCACCACCACGAACATCCCCGCCGCAACACCCACACGTCAACCAAGCAGACCCCTAGATGATGCCTTCAAGAAGGGTCACGACGTCGGATGCGCCGCCATCATCCGCTCCGGGAGGACCTGGGCTTGGGGTTTCCCCCAAGGTCTCAACTTTCATCTTTATCTGACCAAGCAAGGTGAGTCTTGAACGTTGGCCGTCTGGTCGCCACCAACAACACCCCGTAGAGGGGAGAGGTGTTATACATGAACGAGGTGGTCCAAAGAGGATCACACCCCGCTAACTCGGCTTCGGATGAAAGAATCAAACCCACTCCAAGGAATGACCGAGCCAAGATGACGCTGGCAGAGCCAGAACGCCACGGTCGATCCCTAAGCTGGCTGCCCCACCGCCACCTAACACACGACCTTCAACCACACGCAATAACGGAAATCGTCATTTGGGTCTTCACGATGATGCCTCCAAGGGGAAGTGGTGTTGAGGACACACCACCGCCATGGCACCATCTGAACCGGCAAGGCCGATCATAGGTTTTCACCCAGATACCACGAAACCAGGCAGCGAGGAGGGCACAAGCTCCACGGCAGCACCTCCGCGAGGAAAACTACGGACACCTGTGGCCGTCAGCATCGACAAAACCGATGCAGTGTTCTCACCCAGAGCAAGTGCAGATCCCCACCACGGGACAGCAACGGTACCTTCGCGTGTAGCCCAGCTCCGTGAGGCCCCTGCTGAAGCGTGCGAGCAGCCATAAGAGCAACAAGATCCATTGGCTGGACCAATAGTGCACATGACAATGAACAACATCGTAGACAATTGCAGATCAGACTGTGCGTGCTACTACTTGCGTGCATTTATATCTTTTTTTCTTTTTATCAATGCATCCATCAAGACCGTATAACATTTCTCAATTAGTAGTACAAGCTAGTGTCACCGCGCCCGTCGGCCGGCCTCCTCCTCTCCTACTAGTTGAAGGCGGTGCAGTCTCGTCTGATCTCCCCGTCGCCGCCGCTCTTCACCCCGACCCTCCCCAGCTTCACCATGGCCTCCTTGAACGCCTCGAAGAAGAGCGTCTGGTTCCCGGCGAACCCCTCCACGGCCGGCCGCGAGGCCGCGCCGTCGTGCAGCGCCTGGTCGGAGGCGAACAGCCCCAGGCCCGCGGCCAGGTTGGCGTAGTACTTGTTGTCGAACACGGTGGGCGTGACGGGGTCCATGTCGACGGCGATGGTCGGGTCCACGTCCGGCGGGCACGCCGCCATCAGCTGCCGCGCGTACGACGGGCTTAACGACGGATCCGCCGCGCCGCGCCGGTACAGCCGCCCCGCGAAGCGCGCGCAGTGGGAGAAGCCGACGGTGTGCGCGCCCGAGAGCGCGACCATGTCGCGCACGGCGAGGCCGTTGCCGTCGAACAGCGCGGTGATGGCGTCCGGCCGCATGTCCGGGCCCGGCAGCCTGCCCGTGACGTCGCCGGCCTTGGAGACGAGCCCATCCAGCCGGCCGAGCTCCACCGTCCAGCTCGGGCCCGACGACTGCCATTGGCGCGCACCGGCACAGGGATCAGATCAGACGGACTAGATTGTTAGGGATAGAGGACACGACGGGAGGTGCAATGAGATGCAAAAGATGGCATGTTTACCATGGAGACGACGTCGCGGGCGGCGAGGGCGAGGACGTCGGCGCAGGAGACGACGCCGGGGCAGGCCTTCTCGACGGCGGCCTTGGCGCGAACGACGGTGTCGAAGCCGTCGCCGGCGAGGGACTGGTTGTCCGGCGCGTCCTTCTCGGCGTCGTTGCTGCCGGACGCGATCATCACCGACGCGTCACAGCCCTGCCCAACAAAACATGCCACCGCACCGCGTGACCATGAGCAGTAAAAGGATACGTAGATGATCATCCTCAAGTGACGTGGACCACGTGGTCGGCCACGTCGGACGCGGCAAAGCAGCCGGGTTGACAGGAAGGTCGTGCGGTCACAACTCACATGGCAGGAGCCACGGGCGCGCGCGTGATGGCGGGAGCCGATCGAGCGAGCTTTGCCCACGCGCAGCCAGCAATTATCTGCCACTCTGTCTGATCTGACCTGATCTCCACCTAACCTCGCTGAGAAAAGTACTACTCATCAAGTGCGAAATGCTCTCTGCTTTGCTGGGACAAGCAGATTAATCAGCCAATTGCACTGTGATCTACTGTACTCAGGATGGGGCCAATCAGTGGCTGGCTAATGGGGTCACATCACTAGTGCACGACAAGCTGCTCGTGCCGCTGAGCTGGAAATTGCAAAAGCAGCTGGCTGCAAGTTGCCACTGTTTGCAATCTGTAAATGCAACTAGCTGCAACCGGAAGAAATCCTCTCTAGCAGCGACGGAATCATGGAAGTTTACAGGGAAGAAAAGAATCTGATTCCAAGAGAGCTGAGAGGTTCCAATGATGCATGGGCAGATCGATCTCAGCGGCGGGCGGCGGCTCACCTGGACGAAGCAGTCGTGGAAGAAGAGCCTGAGGGTGGCCGGGACGGTGACGAAGGTCGCCCTCACCTTCCTGGCCACGGCTGACCGCACGATCGACTCCACGCGCGGGCACGTCCTGCGGTAGTGGTCCGGCGACAGCTTCGCCTCGCCACCGGCCGCCACCGCCACCACCGCCGCCGCCACGGCGAGCAAGCAGAAGCAGCCGCCCCTTCTCCGCTGCTCCATGGCTCTGGCCCTGGAGGTCAGCCGGCTCAGCCGCTCGGGGTGCGTTGCTTCCGCGTGCGCGTGCGTATTGGAATCGAATTTTGGTTTCCCGTGGGGAGAAGGCAGCTATAGCTACAAGCTGCTGCTGCCTCACTTGCCACTGGCTACAAGTGAGTGACAGTGAGAGGCGGACCAGAGGACAGCAAAGATGGGCCTCCCTATGTATACAGCTTTCCTCTCTTCTTTTTCTGTACTGAGAATTATTATAGGGATGAAGGTGATGATTGAGATGAGGATAATGCAAATTGCCAAATTGGAAGCTGTATTATCTGTAATACGATTCGCTGAAAGATATTATTCCAACGAGGCTTTGTTCGTTAGTTATGTGAGCCATTTTTAAAAGCGCCTAGATTATGATCATGGCACTGAAAAGGGATATATTCCTGGCACGATGCTAGTGAGAGACGGCCATGCCAAGTTGCCAATCATGTTGGGACTTTTCAAATGCTCGTAAGTGTGAGACTCTGTGGAACCAATCAAATCTAGAGAGAAGAGGAACTGTGGGTTGACTGAGGCTGGGCTGCACATGGGTTGGGGCTGTTTCATCTCCTTGGATTTGGCATCGTCTGACGATCGAGATATCTTGTAACAGGCAATCAGATCAAGGAATCATAGCTGAATCACAAGATGATTGGATAATGCAAACTAAATTATCTATCTATCATTGGAAACATGGCCTGTGATTGCCATATAAAGGGTACTGAAGCAGACTAGCAGGTCTGGGCTGGCAGTCCACTCCTTTCAGTTCAATCCAGCCATTTTTTGTTGTTCAGAGGGCTTGACAACAAAAGGATCCCCCTATTTATTTTATATTTACAAAAAAAACTCACTTCAACTTTCCCAAAACATAAAATTAGGAGCCCTTGTTGTTTGACCTTCATGTTTCAAACATTTTCATAATTGTGCCACGAAGCGGTTAGCACATACTACTCCCTCTGTTTCTAAATAGTCCTTTTCAAAATTTCAATACAAACTACATACGGATGTATATAGACATATTTTAAAGTGTAGATTCACTCATTTTGCTCCATATGTAGTCCCTTATTGGAATCTCTAAAGACTTATATTTAGGAATGGAGAGAGTAGTATGCAAGTGTTGATGGATATCATAGCTGAACTGAAACTCAGGAGCGCAACTAGGAACACAGAAGGCACTCTAATGCTGCGCCATACTGTGTCATCCAAATTACAAAATTCTCAAAGAAAAAAACTCATGAATATCTGAACAGGGTGTAGAACATCCTGAAACCACACACTGTAGTAATGAAGTCCAGTCGGGTTGGTAAGTATGAGGAGAGCTAGAGGTAGAAATTAGACCCTAGATGTACCGAGCTTACGCTCGAAGAGGCGTCGCAGCAAGTAGACCTGCACAGCACTGGCTGCAATAAGGGCAGCTGATTCGAGGAGTGCCTTGTGAATTGCCCTCGTGCTCATGTTCTCATTTACTGCATCACAATAGATAAGGAAAATGTTACGCCTTTAGCAACTATGCCTTCTATGGTGATTTCAAACATGCAACAGAGAGTAAATAAAATTCTGGCGTGACAGCAGAAATTAGTTAGACATCAGGGAGGACTCTGCAAATGTGCAATGGAAGGACTCTGGTAGAAAAATGATGTCAATACAAAATATAACATGCCACGCATGCTCACGATCCTAGTTGTGGAGTACCCAGTGACCCCCGAAACTCAAAACTAGCCATCTTTTCAAGTTGGTAAATGGTATAACTGTGGCTGAAGTTGATTGTGCTGGCACCTTCAGACAAGATGAACAAATAGCAGGCTGGAGCACCTAACAGTGCTAAAAATTATTTTTCATTAAGCATCAGGAGAAACGCACATTGGCCAATGGTTACAGGTTACAGCTCAGAGGTGCTATTAGGATAAAAGAGAAAGAGGAAGACAAGAGAGCCTTAAAATATTACAATGCACTAGTACTTACATGCTTGCAAGAGAGAATGTGAGAGGAGAAACTTACATATTGCTTGGCGGTCTGTTTGGGCAGTTAGCCAGTGCTGTTCAAACAGAACGTTGTACAGATCATCATCCAACTTTCTTATTTGTTCAAACAAAGGACCAAAATGCTCTGCACCAGTTTTTTCAGAACAAAGGAATTAGTGGTGCACACACTGGTCTCTGCACCATTTGATGTGAGAGAGAGAGAGAGAGTGAGTGTTTACCATCTTTGGCATGCTGGTCAAAATATGAAAAATGACCAACATGCACATCAAAGTCCACAGTTTCATGATACGGGGACTTGTTGGTGAAGCAGAAACGGTGGACACCTCTCTTCTGAACTATGAATTCGAACTTATCACTAACCTTGGCACGAGAATCATGGACCTGATTGCCATTAGGGTCTTTCACCTGCAATAAATCATGACTGAATCAGTTTCAGTGGATGTGACTTGCAGAAAATCATCTTAGTGAAAGAAGTATACAGATAAACTACAAAAGTAATGACAGTTAGCCAATTATCGTTCCCTGCCAACAACAAGCACATATTTCACTATGCTAAAATTAATGGAGTAATGCACATATGGAGAAGAAGACCATACCACGAGATCGACACCATCCTCGCTATAGTGCCATGGAGTGTCTGCCTTGATCACAACAAATGATACATGAACTGTATCCCCTTCATAATCAACATTGTGAGAGAAGCACTCTTCCCTGTCCATCACAAAGCGAATAGCCACGGCATGGCGCAAGAAAGGCACGAGGCATAGGACCAAGAAATAACCCAATCTCAAGCCCCTCACGTCCATCATCTGACTGGCAGAGACTAAATTAAACAAGTTAGACCTTGTGCAACTACGATTGGGGCATTATCAAACGACTGCAATTCAACTACATGATGCCATTCAAAACAGTTGCACTAGAGCATCGAACTGAGGACCAACATAGAGCATCTCCTTCAGAAATCCACACGGATCCATGACTTCGAATCCACACGACTAACCTAGGGTAAGAGTTAAACCACCTCCCCATCTCCAAAACTGGGGCACAAGCGCAAGGAGACAAGCATTCCCGCTAGATCTGGACGGCGCTCCCAGGAAATAAAATCAGAGGGCGTCCTCCCTCTCCGTGAATTTCAGGCAGAGAAATGAGAAACCAGTAGCGCACACAAGGCGCGCGCACCACGGCATCCAAACAACGACGGGACGGAACTCGGACTACCCCGAGAAACCCCACGCATCTAGCCGCGGGAGAGAGGGCGATTTCCTCCCAGAAACAAATCGAATTGCCAACGCGAGCTGTCCCGCGCGGCCGGTCGATGGATTCAGAGGAAGGGGAGGGGATCGATCCGGGGTGGCGGTGGGCGAAATCGAAACGCGCGTGCTTGGAGATTGGATGGATCGAGCTGACCTTGGGCGAAGGCGGTTCCGGCGAATCTCCGGCGGGGGTGCGGCGGAGGAGTTTCGGTGGGGAGAAGAGCGCAAGGCACGAGAGGTTTTCTCCGCCTTTTTGTTGGGTTTATTACGTGACTTGTTCGTCTGGGCATTTTCTGGGCCTTTGGATGAAGCCACGGGCCCACTTTCCAGTAATGGCGTCATGCACGGGCTCGGCCCGTATAGAGATCAACTTTTTTTACTGGAACCGGATATAGTAGATTTTTAGGGAAAAATGACCAGTTTACTATCCTGAATAAATGTTTCTCAGAAAAAAAAAACTATACTGAATAAACTTGGTGGTTCATATAACCCCTTGATATTATTATTTTTGCCCCCCCCCCCAAACAATCCCATACCTGTCAAAAAAACACCCCTGACGGGGGGTTTACCCGATCGGATGATGATGTAGACACAGTCAAAAGTGGTATTTGACCAGCGGGTGGATCCCCCTCGTCAGGTGAAGAAATAAAAAGGAGTGATTGTACCTAGGCCTTACCTTTTCTAAATTTTGGCCAAGCCCAACCCGAAGAGGAGCAGGGTCGTCTCCAACCCCTCGCCAAGAGAACGACGCGATGGCAGAGCATGCTCTAGTAGCCTCCCAGCATCCACCTCCTCACCCAAGAGATAAGCAAGACCCCATGGACCTATCCCTTTCTTGCATCTCATTCTTCCCCTCTCTCTTTCTCGGATTCGAGCACCGCAGAGCGCCGACTACCGTCGACGTAGCCACAAGCGGACCCTTGCTAAACCACCGTGTCTAGAGACCACCAACATCTCATGCCAGTCCTCTGCCCCGAAGGATTCGAGCCTAGAAGCGTGGAGTCGTCCCAATCAAGCCGCCTTCTCGATTGCAGCCACCGGACGCCGAAGCACGATTTGCCGCGCACAGACGAGCTTCGCCCTAGCCTTCGCCTCTATTAGACTCGCAGTGATCCTATCCTAGTTTCCCGCCTCCTCTAGAGCACAGTCATGTTATAGCCATTGTCCACATGAGCTCGGTATCGCCCTAGCCGTCGTCCACACGAGCTCACACTTTTTGTTGCAATTCTAATGCATTTTCTCTCTTAAATTGAAAGTTATATCACAAGAGGAGATTGCCGGTAGCTGCAATTCTGGACCTAAAAGGAGCTACAACGAAGATAGTTATTCTTCGGAGACTCCAAATGACCTGAAAACTTACGGAGATTTTTTAATATATAAAAAATACTGGAAGAAAAAGATACGAGAGAGGACCCTCCCTAGGCCCACAAGCTCAGGTGGCGCCGTCCCCTGGGGCAAGCCATGTGAGCTTTTGGGGCCCATGGACGTCTACCGATGACCATCTTCCGCTATATGAAGCCATCTGCCCTAGAAAAATCAAAGACTTTCTAAACAATGCGTCGCCGTCTCGTGCCGAAACCTGGGCATGAGCACTTTTGCTCTTCGACGGAGCCATTCTATCGAGGATGCTTCCCCACGGGAGGGGGGAATCGAAGCCATCATTATCACCAACACTCGACTCGTCGTGGGACGACTCATCACCATCAACATTTTCACGGTTGGCTTACTTTCTATAATCATTCAATAATGTTCTTGGAAATCGGATAAATTTTCCTCAATTCAAATAATGTTCTTGTGATTTCAAAAAATGTTCGTCAACTCAAATAAAGTTCTTGGAAATCCAAGTAATGTTCTTTAACTCAAATATTATTCTTAGAAGTCAAAAAATGTTCCTTAATTCAAATAATGTTCTTGGCATTCGAAGAAATGTTTGTGAATTGAAATAAAGTTATTGAAAATCAAAAAAATAATCTTTAATCAAAATAGTGTTCCTCGAAATAAAAAATGTTACTCGATTCAAATAAAGTTCTTGGGATTTCCAAAAAATATTTGTCAACAAATATAAAATACATGGAAGTCAAAAGGTTTTCCTCAATTCAAATAATATTCTTGGCATTTAAAAAATGATCGTCAATTTAAATTAAGTTCCTTTAAATCAAAAAATATTTGTCAATTCAAATAATGTTCTTGGGATTTTAAAAATGTTCATCAATTGAAATAAAGTTCTTGGAATTCCCAAAATGATCGTGTAATTTCCAAAAAATCTTCGTCGATTTGAATAAGGTTCTTGAAATTCTAAATTATGTTTTAAACTAAAATGATTGAAAATCAAGTAAATGTTGCTCAATTCAAATAATGGTCTTGGTATATCAAAAAATGTTCACTAACTCAAATAATGTTGTTGGAAATCCAAAATTGTTCTTTAATTCAAATAATATTCCTGGAAGTCAAAAATTATTTCCTCAATTCAAATATTGTTCTTAGCATTCAAAAAAATGTTCCTTGATTTGGATAATGTTCTTGGAATTCCAACAATTGTTCTTTAATTCAAATAATTTTCTTGGAAATCAAAAAAATCATGGTCTATTCGAATAATGTTCTTGGAATTTCAAAAAATGTTCATCAACTAATCTAAAGTTCATGGAAATCCAAAAAATGTTCTTTAATTCAAACTAATGTTCTTGCAAGTCAAACAATTGTTCCTCGATTCAAAATATTGTTCTTGTCATTCAAAAAAATGTCTGTGAATTGAAATAAAGTTCTTGGAAATAAAAAAATGTTCTTTAATTGAAAGAGTGTCCTCGAAAGTCAAAAAATGTTCCTCAATTCAAATAATATTCTTGGGATTTCAGAAAATGTTTGTCATCCCAATAGAAAAACCGCCTGGAAATCTGAGGACCTTTTGTACCGTACCGAACCAGCAACCTTCGTGCCAAATGATGACCGTCGTAAGGTAGCATATAGAAAGGAGTAAGAAAACGTACGCGCTTTAACAACAAAGCGCTCATCCCTTGTTCTTTCGCTTGGAAGCTCAATCCCCTCGCTTCTTCTTTTGCTTCTACTCTCGTGCTTTCAGCAAGTTCTTACTAGTTGTCAGTCAAGGAGGGAGCTCCAACCTCTGTGCCCGAAGGCTTCGCACAATAGTTCTCCCTATCGTCGTGATCCACCTTTGGGTGTTTCTCCACAGAGCCGAACTCAACTAAAGTTCTTGGAAATCCAAAAAATGTTATTTAATTCAAATATTGTTCTTGGAAGTCAACAAAATTTTCCTCAATTCAACTAATGGTCTTGGCATTCCGAAAGTAATTCATCAATTCAAATAAAGTTCTTCGAAATCCAAAAATTGTGCTCAATTGAAATAATGTTCTTAGGATTATAAAAAGTGTTTCTCAATTGAAAAAATGTTCTTGGAATTCCAAAAAATGTTCTTCAATTCAAAAAGGAATTTCAAAACAATGTTCCTCGGTTCGAATAATGTTCTTGGAATTCCAAAGCATGTCTGTAATTCAAATAATGTTCTTTGAAATCAAATAAATGTTGCTCAATTCGAATAATGTTCTAGGGAGTTCTTAAAATGTTCGTCTAAAGAATGTTCTTAAATATCAAATAATGTTCTTGGAAGTCAAAATTTTGTTCCTTGATTCAAACTATTGTTCTTGGCATTAAAGAAATGTTCATGAGTTGAAATAAAGTATTTGCAAACCTAAAAATTATTATGTAATTGAAATAGTATCCCTGGAAGTCAAAATGATGTTCCTCAATTCAAACAAGTTCTTAGGATTTCAGAAAATGTTCGTCAACTCAAATAGAGCTCTTAGAAATCCGAAAGTGTACTTTATTTCGAATATTGTTCTCGGAAGTAAAAAAAATGTTCCTCGATTCAAATAATGGTTTTGGCATTCAGAAAAAGGTTCATCAATTCTAATTAAGTTTTTCAAAATCCAGCAATTGTTGTTCAATTCAAATAAAGTTCTTGGGATTTTAAAAAATGTTTGTCAATTGAAATAAAGTTCTTGGAATTCCAAAAAGTTTGTCGATTCAAAACAGAATTTCAAAACAGTGTTCCTCAATTCTAATAATGTTCTTGCAATTCAAAAAATTATTCTTTAATTCAAATAATATTACTGGAAAAAGTGTTGCTCAATTCAAGTAATTTTCTTGGGATTTCAAAAAATGTTCGTAAACTCAAATAAAGTTCTTGGAAAAAATCCAAAAATTGTTCTTTAATTCATATACTGTTCTTGGAAGTTTAAAAATTGTTCCTCAATTCAAATATCGCTCTTGGCATTCAAACAAAAAGTGTTCATGAATTGAAATAAAGTTCATGGAAATCATATCTAAGAGTATATTTGTCAGTTAAATCAATAATTTCCTTATTCCAACACCGAAGAGTAGAGAATATGTGCTTAATAGTACCAAGTGGAAATCTATGAATTGTAGGCATCTTGATTGTTGAGCAAGTACTTTATGAAAGTAAAAATAAAGTAAGGTGGTGATGAGCCATTCTTTGGAGAACACGTGCACATATTAGTGTCATTGATAATTATATTGTTTTGAAAGTAAGGTGCTAAATACCGTGACACCGAATCCATTAATACATTAATAAAAACAGTAAAATTTGTATTATCAAGTATAAGCCAAAAAAACCTAAAATAGTACAAAAAATGAAAAATGTTTCTAGCCATGACCACACCTAAAAGAAAGAGAGAATTCCACTCGTGGATTAATCACCAAAAAAAAGTACAACCATTCAGCTTAAGAAAATAACTACCAATCCCTAGATTATGACCAAAAAAGGTCTACAATAACCACAACTTAACAAATCAAGCTTCACACTTCGATAACACCACACTAGCAAAACGGAATAACTCCTAACGCTAGGTATAACAATTCAAGTTTAAGTTCCATCACATCTTAAAATAGAGCAAAACTAATAAGCACCACATCTTACATGTATCCACACAAAACACTATAACAGTTCATCTCCTATGCTTGGGTTATGTCCTATATCAAAACCACAACCACCCCATCTAATATCAGTTCAAGTTCGACCTCTGGCCTATGACTAGAAAGCAAAAACTAGTGAGAACAAGAACTAAATAGTAGAACAGTACCACACAAGACCCACCTTATAACAGTTCTAGTACAAGTTCCGGTTCTAAACTAGAACAGAGCTACAACACTATCATCAGAACTATCGCCAATGCATAAGTGTATACATGGAAATTCTGAAGCATCTACGCAATTGAAGCACTAGTAGAAAAATGACTTTTAGTACCGGTTCGTAAGGACCTTTAGTACCGGTTCTGGAACTGGCACTAAAGAGTAGGGACTAAAGGTCA